TCGGTGCGTTCTACATAGTCTCCCTGAACACAAGACCAAGTTGCGACAACGAGGTCAACCCACAAATATAACTTTGTTTCATTAACAATTCCACCACAGAATGTGATATGTTAAAATTCCTGACCCCTCTTAAAATACGCATCCGCCCTGTAACTTACCGGAACTCGTGGCAATGTGGCGGAGTGGGTAACGTGTCGAGTTTACACGCTACATTGCCATGGTTCGACTCCTCCTTGGGGAGTTGATAAGACCTATGCGAGGTCAAAACTGCAATCCACCTTGGATGAGGACACCTTTTGGGAAGCAAGGCTATGTGAAATTCAATAAAAAACATCAGCTCTGATCATATCATTGTGGGAGAATTCAACTATCAGTCCCCTGACCACCCCAAACAAAATAGGATGAATGCAGTTCATATATATGATATATTGGTAGTCTCAACAGCCTATTTATAAATGAAAAATGCATATTTTATAGTTCCTTAGAAAATAATTTATTAAGGATACCATTTATTCTTAAAGGAAATTGCTTAATTTAAAAAGAAGAAATAGTCATGTTAACCGTAATTGTAACAGCCCCTTACCAAAATTGAGCAATAATTTCCTTTTATGGAAACTTTCTTCAATAAAAGTTATGGTAGTGAAGTGATTCGTTTATTTTCAAAAGGATTTATTTAATGATTCAGATTTCCAAAGCTAAGTTTCAACTTTCTTTTGCGCGGTATTGCCGTAGTCCCTAGGAGAATCGCCATGATTTAGTCACTAAAGTGAGAGATGCACACAAGTAGATTAACTTGTAATAAACCGGACATATTCGAGAAGAGATTGGGAGTGTTATTGAACTACAGGTCGTTCCTTTAACTGATAGCCACGTAAAAACAACGCCGAGGAATAAGAGAGTAAAGAATATCATAAAGAAACTAAATTATGAGGACCAAATGTGTTGAGGGCAGACAAAGGAGCGGGGGTAGTTATGGATAGGTTAAGCTATGTAGAATAAATGATGCAGGCTTTGTATGACACTACCACATAAAAGGCAATCAGTAGGGACCATACAGAAACCCTTAGGTCTAGACTTAGAAGTTGCTTGCAGCATTGTGTAACAAACAAGGAACTGGAGAAGTGGAGGATAAACATGCTTCTTCAACGAGATGGAGTTCCACTTAGAATTAATGTGAATAATAAGGGAGGCGTGAAGCATAAAACATCACGATTTATTTTTAACAAGTTAGAGCAAATCTCAGAGTTAAGAATTCTTATGAAGTCGTAATTAAGTAGATTTTTGAGATTTACAGTAAATCAGATATATGAGTTGTGTTCACCCTATTTTGTTTAAGGTAATGAAGGACAGGTCGATTGCTATAGAGGCCCTGAAATCCACACTAGACCAACACGCCAGATTTTAGACAGTACGAACTTAAGTAAAGAGTCAATAATGATACTGACCAACCTAGCGATGCACTGTACAGATTTTACCTTTAATGGTAAACTGTACGGACAAAAACGAGGATTAGCTATAGGAGCATGTTTGTCACCAATTTTAGCAAATAATCGCATGGCTAAATTTGAGGAGCACACAATTCAAGAGGCGTTTTTAGTCCCTAAACGATTACTTTATCGTTTGGCAGCATGAAAAAGAAGGTATATAGAATTGCCTTGGTTTGCTTAAGAGGATAGATTGAAAGACGAAATTCACCATCGAGTTAGAAAAGGAAAGTGGTTTACCTTTTCTTGATGCTCTAGTTAGTAAAGAGAGGACCAGATTATGTACATATGTGTATAGGAAACAGACAATTGCATGCCTCCTTTTGAATTCATTTTCCATTTACACTTATCGGGTTAGAGTAGGAGTTGCTAAGTCTATGATACTAAGGAGCTTGCGTCTGGCAGATACTAAGCATTGGAACCAGAAATTGAGAAGACTAAGGAGACTTTTGGTTGAAAATAATTATCCACGAGGATTGGTTGACAATTACGTTAGAATATTGTCAAATATGATAGAGGGAAATACATATATGGAGCTAGATAGAAAATTAAACTACTCTACCAGAACCCTTATGCTGTCATCTTGTAATCTGTCGAAGAAGATAGGCGAATTATTGAAGAGGTGAGACATCAAGACCATTTCTAAAGAGGAAGTAACGCTTTCCTCGGTATTGCCTTCTTTTCGAGAATAATCTGACTCTTTCCCCAGATCGGATTGTTACAAGAATTTGTGTTCATGTAGTAGTGAATATGTGGAAGAGATATGTAGAACCATACATAAGAGGTTATCTGAACACAAGACAGCCGGAAAGGGTATGTTGATACAAAAATCTGAATTGGCGAAAGATTGGGGAGGCGATAGAACTCCACAAATCAGCAAACACTCTGAATCGAAAAAATGAGTTTAGGAAGTTAAGTGGAAACTACTTTTGGCTGATGGGTAGTATTAGAGAGAGGAAAGGGGAAATAGGAGAAGTACCACAGAGAAAGAGGAGGAGGCTTGAACAGGCTCGAATCTGATTTTGACTTTCACGTCACACTCATTTCAAAAGCAATGAATTCACAC